AAGAGTTCTTCGTGATTGTTAACTTGGGCACATTTTCCAATTATACCTCACGAATTATTTCAGAATTTCTGCCAATTATAGGTGTGTTTGCTCTTCTTTTTCTCCAATTTTATCATCTTTGATAATATATTTTGTTCTATTATAATTATTCTGATTTTTGAGTTTTTGTAATATGGGAATTTAACATTTTTATTAGCTGGATGTTTCGTACATGAATATGCTCTTTAAAAATTGAAGTATTTGCTTCAGAGATTGAAGTTTTTTTTTTTTTTTTTTTTTTTTTTTTTTTTTTTTTTTTTTTTAAATGGTGTTTTCAATAACAAATTAGATGGGGTCAGCTGCATGAACTATGGTCGTTGAACCATTTTCGGTCTTTAGTAAAGATGATGTAATGCTTTTTTGTTCTACCTTTTGAGTATTACTCTTTCCGTTTCATAATATATTTCCTATTTTCTTATTTTGGAGAGTCAAAATATTGTTCTTATTTCTATTTTTCAGATAATATGTATAGACCATTACATCCTCACTTTTTTAACTTTATTCATTATAATTACTTTTTTCCACTTTCTCTCTTTAACTTTTATTTATAATTGTATTTTTCACTTTTATTATTATACTTTATTCACTTTCTCCTCCTATTTCTTAAATACCGTGAAAAACCGCAAACAGGAACTGTATTATGGGATGGGGGGGAGTACATTAACTATTACTTCATTTGTTTGTCAGAGAATAGATGCCAATTTTTCATGGATGAAATTTGAGAAAATGTATGTAATTTCAAAGTTACACACTTGTAGTTAAGTATTTATGAACATAAATTTTGGATAAGTTGTGAATTTATTGGATAATTAAGTCAAAATCTCCTGGGTTAAGGTGATGATTGCCTTTAGTATCCATTTTTTGGTAAGTTAGAATTGGAATTCTTATTCGCCTTGCTTGCCTTGGTTATGACAGGATTCATACAGGGTTAACGTTGGATATTATATGAATTGCAGTTTGTAGTTTGCTAAAGAGGGTCCATTCTTAGGTTCTGATAAGGTGTTGAACTTATTGTTCAAGAATCATACCCAAGTAAACATAGCTGTTTGAGTGTCTGATATATTTCACACATTAAGGCTTGCTAGTCGAAACACAATTTTTCTCGGGTTATTTATGCCTTGTTGTGTTGCTCATGTCTGTTTGCTTGTTTGTGTTAGGCAGCTTTTTAACATTGTATCATTAAGAGAAGTAGGAGTAGTTGATTCATTGATTGTGGCCTTTCCATAGATTGTTGTAAGTGGTGTCATCAATTATTGGGTTGTAGGAAGAAATTTATCTCTTGTTGTTAGAGGAATTCAAGTGTACTTATACGATCTCAGCTGACTCTTTCCTTTTCTTTTCTTGACGAAGATTTAAGAAGTCTAAGTTGCTTTTAATCTTTTGGTAAAAAGATTTTCAAGTGTGCCTTAAACATCTAGTCTTTGTATTTCAATTTTGGCCTTAAACATAATCACCCACGTATATTGAGCCTTGCTTTATAAATTTTCAGATTTCACAGATGTATAGAAAAAATTACCAAAAGACTGACTTTATCTCACCTCTTTTTCTTAAATGATGAAGGAAATCTCTTAGTTGAGGGGTAACATGGAGGGAAGAGTTTGTAGGATTCTCATAATTGTAGAATACAGACATACCTTGTTTTATTTGATGCTGCATTCAAGTTCTAGCTCATGTAACTATTATTATAAAGCAGAACAAGTTGATAAAATCTATACTTTGCTGGGTGTGAAAGAAAAGCAAATTTGCATTCCCATCTGAAAGTAATACGATGTAATTATTATGCCTTTGCAGATATAGTTTCTCCCTCTAATTGGGTGTTTTTGTAATGTAACTACCAAAATACTAGTATTGGTTTTTGGTCATCAATAAAAAAGTGATATTAGAATTAAATTGCTTGATTCAAATATTTCATGCAATATGCCATCTAGCGTTCTTAGTTTTTAATCAATTATTCAAGTCATAAGTAGATTGGTGTGGCTTTTATGGGTCAATAATTATCGTTCATTATAAGAGTGGCAACTTATAATTGCATCTTCTTCAATTCTCTATTTACATCACAAGAGTGTACCATGGGGCTTTCCCTCCCTCCACACATGACTTCCAAAAAACTGGCGAGGCATGAACTGGCTTTTAGAAAATTTTAGATGCAAAACTGTAGATAAGAGCATCTCCAAATCTCCAATGGTAAGCTACAAGGGCTTGTAGCTTACCTTGGTACATTCATACTGTAAGCTAGTATATTCTTAAGCTACAAAATGCTCCAATGGTGAGCAATAGAATATTGTAGCTTTGAAAAATAAATAAATAAATAAAGTAGTTTTTATCATACACATGTCATATTATAAGTGGATAAAGTTTTATTTGAAAAATCAAGCAACGTAGCTTGTTTGAGCAAGGTTGCTTGATCTAGCTAAATCAATATTGTCACTCCAATGGTAAGCTACATGCTTACAATTTAATTTAATTTGCAAGCAGTTCCTTTTTGTATACCATCCGAGATGCTCTAAGGTGCCTAACTTGTTTGGAAAAAATACTTGGTATCAGTGAAAAACATACACGATATCTAGCAAGGTATACATGGTTGTATTTTGCACTATGATCTAAAGGGATCATCTTAGGGGGTTTCAAACAATCAGTTCACTCTTCAGACTTCAGTTTAATGTACTTTGGCTTGTATGTTGTATCACTTGTATGTGTATTGCTCAGACTAAGTAATTCTTCCAACAAAACACTCTCTGCTAGTAAGGTATACATGATTGTATTTTGCACTATTTGGCTTGTATGTTGTATCACTTGTATGTGTATTGTTCAGACTAAGTAATTCTTCCAACAAAACACTCCCTGCTAGTAAGGTATACATGATTGTATTTTGCACTATTGTGGTGTAAAAACTGCCAAAATAAAGTGGAATCATTCAGTTGGCATGCTAGGATGTATTGGTTGCTTATAGTTGATGTTATGCTGATCAATATTGTAAGAAGTTACTTTAATGTAATGGCCGATGATATAAATAGAAATTACAGAATTTGTGGTGCTTTGCTTGTCTGGCTTGCATGGTTTCAAGGACTCTTCATTTTCACTCTGTTTCTAATTCTGGCAACTGATAAGCAAATAACCACAAGTGATCGAAACAGAAGATTCTCTTCAGTTAAAAACGTTATAAATCTATATATTAGTCATCAACTATTGGTAAATCATGGTGATCATGATTCTGCTCATGTGTTCTTATGCTACCTGAAGGTAATCTGTATTTTTCATTGTTTTATGGTTGTATAGTTTTTTTGAAGATTTATTATGCAATACAGTAATAACCAGTCAATCCTTTTCTCATTTTGTTTTTGTTGTTTGTTTATCTGGTCAAAATTATAGATGGCAGGACATTAAAAATGTCAGTTCAAGCAGAAAGCATATGTCCGCTAAGCAGTGACATTTTTTATGATATATTAAGACGCCTTGATGGGGCAACTTTAGCTACTGCAGCCTGCACCTGTGCATCATTCTCCTCTATCTCAAAAGAGGAGAGAATATGGGAAAATGTTTGCAATTCCCTGTGGCCTTCTATTAAGCGGGATGATGTGAGGACCCTGATTAGATCTATGGGTGGGTTTAGAAAGTTCTATGCAGACTCTTACCCTCTCATTGTTAATAAAGACTTAGCTTTGGTTCCATTAGATTCCTTTCTGGAATACCCTGAAGAATGGTCAGAAGCAGACTATTATGAAGATTTAGAAGAATATGAGAGCCTCACACCATCTGATTTGGTTTCACTTGTTGATATAAGATACAAGGACAAGCCAATTTTCTCAAAAGTCCTTTGGGGTATTTCTGAATCGGATGCTCTTGGCCGTTGGTTCTATAATGCACCATTCCACATCGACCTTGGCAATTCAGACGTCAATGGCAACATAAGGAAAGTTATCATTACAGGGGAAGATGGTTTGCCCTTAATTGAATCTGTAGATAATGAAAGAAAAGAAGGAAAGCTCTGGATGGAGCTCCAAGATAGGTTAAGACTTAGTTGGATCATTGTAAATACAAAGGTTAAGCAAGCGGCCAATGTATCGAGTTTTATCCCCCTAGGAGTTCAGAGGCATTGGCCTAGTGATAAGGATTTCCTAGTACGATTTGGGTCTGTTCTCCCTGCTGAAGATATCCTCCCCTGTCAAGCTGTAGAATGCATCCTTGTAGTGAAATTTAGAATGGTTAATGATACTGCTAGTGGTTGTGTAAACCTCGAGCTGACCCAAGTGAGCATGCAGTTGGAAGACATGGAAGGTTTTCATGTTAATGGAAGAAACAGTCTGATGGTGCTGAAAAAGGCATTGAGCTGCAGGAAGAGCAGGAACTATAGTGAAGTTCTTGAGTCTTGTAATTTGTATTCTCGAGTTCGAAGTGAAATAAAGGAGGAGAAGATGCGAAATGAAAGTCGAATTGATAAGATGTGCATCTTAAGTGGCATTGTAGCAGTTGTTACGTTCTGGTTTTGCATCCTGTGAAATTGTCTGTAAAGTAGTTTGTTAGTTAGTTACCCCTTCGTGTAAGTATTGTTATATTAGGAATCGCACTGAATTATATGATCCTTACATATTTCTGAAGAATAAATAATTGAATCAATCGTTTAGTTGCAACTTTTTTGTCTTGTGCAACTTTGTGTTCTTTCCTCTGTCTTTGCCTGATAGTATCAACTATCCAGATCCAAGTATGCTCTTCAAATTCTAACCATGTCCTGGGTGTGCCTGTATTTCTAGGTACACCTGGCCATCTAGACGTGTGTTGAACACGCGCTGCACATCAGCCTTTGGGCGTCTATACTGGACTCGCCAAGTGCATGTGCCATAAGCAAGAGAATTTTTTTTCTAAAAATGTCCAAATGATGAAAATTACCTAATTTGCAAATGTCATCTTTTTGGCAGGTAAGAGTTTATTAAATTACTAGATAATATCCGAACTGTACTCGGTTTTTAATGAGGGTAATTGAAATTAAATATAGAAGTCTCATGAAAAATGTAATTTAAAAGTCCATTATAATAATTAAAAAATTAAAGTATAAAGTTTCTAGACACATTAATAATTTTGCAAAAATCTAAACGAAAAAAAATAAAGTTTAGGATAAAAAATGCAACATTTCTAAAGAAAAATGGAACAGCAGACAAAGATGCAACACCATGAAATCTACTCCAACTTATTATGCAGTCTTCTCCAATTGAAATAACATGTTTTCTCCTCCTTGTTATTCATTATTTTCGGACTTTTACTACTCCAGAAAAGCGTTCGATTGTCACTTGGCTGAATCAATGTCCATGATTTATTTTTTGAACTATATATATCCCACAAAAGAGGAGATTGCTGGTGAAGAAATAGCACAACTGGGACAGCTGCTAGTACAGGTAAAGGTGCTGGAATCCATATCGGATTGTGTAGAAAGGTGATGAAGAATGTAGCAGTGGAAGCAGCCATCATAGATGCTATGGAGACGAATAAAAATGTTAGGCCAGCCATAAGTTTGCAAGGCAGTACCTCAAGAAAGTCTTTTTCTGCATATCGCGATGTCAGGATTGACAGAAACAAGATGATGGAAGTAGAGGAAGCAAACAATGCAACTGCATTGAATATTGCAAAGACCTTGAAACATACTTGATTTAACAAAATTGGAGATCCGTTATTTTGATTATTACCACCGGGTAAGGTGAAAGCCGCTGTAAAAATTACCGTTGTAATGAGTGTTGCCACTAGAGTACATGATTCTGCTGTTTTCTTCATCCACGCTTCTCCAGATAACCGTAGGTCCTCGTGCTCTTTAGTAAATAAAGCTTGGGGGGTCATTCTCAATTGACTAGTATCCTCATCATGTTCAGATACATTGTTTTGGGTGGATTCGCTTCTATTCTCATTCTTTATAGACTCACCTCTGTTCTTGTCATCTTGGGCGATCTTTTTTACGTAATTTTTAGCTGAAGCATATTGGGGTTGGACAACTTTCTTGACAGCCTATCAGGAATTGATGATGTTAATTCTAGTCGAAACAGAAGCAAAATGTTGAAACAAAACAAAGTGCAATGGAAAGAGTAGTCTCTTTCATAAAAAAAAAAAAAAAAAATGGAAAGAGTAGTCAGAATAATAACCTCAAACCACAATAATTCTCGTTGCATTTGTAAAGCCGCACCTGAGACGCAGTTGAGTCTATCAGCAGGTGCCAACTTAGCAGCTAAATGCAGCATGTTATTTTCTTCCTGATCCCTGTAACTAGCAATGAGATCTTTTATGCTTCCAAACTCATGTATGAGCTTGAAGATCTCCTCGTGTCGATATTCAACAGCAATATGAAATATAGTTCTATTTTTTTCATCAACTTTCCAAATTACATCAGGATAAATATAAATTAGTGTTCTTAGGAAGTCAGCATTCCCCATTTTGGCCGCGACAAACAATAGTCGCCATGGTCTATTAACAAGATCTGAGACCATATCTTCATCTTCTTCGATGACTTTTTTCCAGGCTATCTCCGTCACTTTAATTGCATCCTGTGCATCTGCCTGCTCCTGCTTTCTTTCTTCATTACGCACGTTCATCCCTGAAATTAAAAGATGAACAATATAAATGAAATGAGATATGGAACAAGAGGAATGATGATTAGTTGAACAGGTAAGAGTGCAAAACAAACATCTTTCCAGAAGTTTCCCCAATGGATTTTGGTCGTGAGTGCTGTTCCGTATAGGCCTTTGAGCAGCAAGGGTGTGCAGCACAGTCTCATCCTTTGAGTTCCTCTCGAGTGCCAACTCTGGATACTGCTGTATGAAATAAAGTGCTGTATCTGCACTTAAATTGAGCATATTTCAGCAAGTAATGAATTGATGATAGCCTCGATGAAAATAAACACTTTAAATAGTGAGCAAGATGCAAAGAGAGTGTAAATGGTCAGATACCATACAAACCAGCTTCTATGGCACTGGTAAGCAGCTGAATACGATCCTTATCTGTCAGCCTTTTGTGATCTGTTACCTTCTTAAGGTACTTCACCATCTCTCTTTTCCCATAAACAATCGCCATATGAAGAGGAGTCAATTTTTTTTTTCCAGCACCTCTAATATTTGGTAGCTCTTCATTATACCCCACCATCACCTCTGCAATCTCAACATTTCCGGATGCTGCAGCATTGCAAAAGGCCGTATTGTTATGTATGTTAGTTGAAGTTAGATCAACATTGTTATCATGCATACGGCGTGCCAGTTTTTTTACAAAATCAAGGTGCATTGCTGCTGCTGCAATGTGAAGAGCTGTGTCTCCGTGTTTTGTGATTTTTGCAGTCATCCACTTGTTATCTACTTTGAAAATCATTTCCGCCTTCTCCCAGTCACCATCCAGAGCAGCTTGATAGAGAGGCACTCCATTGTGCAACAAATCTTCTTTTGTTATTTTTTCCTCCTGTTTTTGGCCTAGAAAGAGCAGACAGTGTTAATGTCACTGTACATAGTTACAAATCCTATAATGCGCTATTGCAGTACAAGAAACCAATATTGCTTAATTCATAACATCAGCTTTTATATACTCATCTGTAGCTTAAAATATTTACTTATGCTTTGTTTGGATAAGAAACAAGGAAAGAAAGGAAGGGGAGGGATAGAAGAGGAAGGGAAGAGAGAAAAAAGAGAGGGGGAGGTGAGCTCCATTTTCTCTCCAAATCTCTCTAATTTTAGAGAGATTATGCTTATTGAAGAGAGAAGGAAAATAGATCCCTTCCTTTCCCCAATCCTTTACCCGTACAAGAGAGTTTATCCCCCCTCCCTTTCTCTCCCTTTCTTTTCTTGTCATTTCCTTCTATCCAAACAAAGTGTTAGTGTATCACTAACTTCAACTACTGAGCCCATGAGCAAATCCACGTCTAAGTGAAAGTGTTGTCCCATATTGAAAGAGTGTAAAAGTGTTGAGAAGTGTATCCAACGTTAAAGAAATAAGAAAGTTGTGTCCACTTTATTAGGCTAAGGGGATGCTTCCTTCATTGTCATATGGTTTTGGGATGGAACGTCCTTTGGTCTCTCTTCACTTTTTTTACTTAAAATGAAAATAATAATTATATAAAAACTTTGGTTTTGTAATATCAATTTTTTTTATAATTTTTGTTAATATATACTCTCTTCGTTTTTGTTTTAAATGCATCACTTTTCTTTTATGGGTGCTTTTTTAATGCATAACTTCTATATTTGATAACTTTATACTATATTTTATTAATTCTCTCTTACTTTAAACATCATTTAAATTATTTTATCATTTCTCTCTTCCCCATAGTCCCCACTTAAATAATATAGAGCAAAAATATCTACTCTCTCAAGAGCATTTCCAATGGTAAGCTAATTGTTAAATTAGCTTGTCATGCCACATATGATATGATATTAAGCTAACCTTCTTTTTAGCTATTTTGTACCCCAAAGTCCCCAATGGTTAGCTATTAGCTTGCTAATTAAATAAGCTTGACTTTCTCAATTAGCTTTATAAATTTAATTATTTATTATATTAATCTCCTACAGTTTTGGAAACTTTTTTTTTTCAATAATTGTATTTTTCAGCTCAAATGGTCAAGCTACTAGCTAGAGGTTTTTAAAAATTGCAAGCAAGTCCCTAGCTACAACCATTAGAGTTGCTCTCACATGGTTTCTATTTTATTGTCCCTATCTTACTTTTACTATAATAAATTATTCACCTAGTCAAAATATTATATTACTCTCTTAAAAACTCTGCGCATCACCAAGTGATGCATTTAAAAAAAAAAGGTAGTAATTAAAAATAATAATAGTGAAAGGTGCATCTTAAAGACCGTGCAAAGTCAAAATGAGACTACCTAATTGAAACGAAGGGAGTAAAATACCTTTCCTGTCAAAAAAAGTATTTTAAATCATTTGCATTAAGGTTAAGAGAAGAGGAGGTTGTCTAAATCAATAATTAGTCTTGTTATTTATAACAATAATAAGTGTCTGTTGATACTTTAAAGATCTTAAAAAACCAATAGAGACTATTGGTACTTTTAAATCTTACAATATACTCCCTCCGTCCCTTAATTTTTGCCCCATTGCAAAAATATGGGGTCAAACTTTTAAAACTTTGACCATGAATTCTCGTTGATGTATAAGTGATAATATATTCATGTGAGATCTTGTTAGAATTGTCTCATTGTATAGTTTATTAATATCAAATTTTTATAATTTTTACGCGTATAGAAATGGAGATATACGTGTATTGGAGACCGTAAAAGTCAAATGAGGCAAAAAATAAGGGACATAGGGAGTATATGCGGTAAAAATGGACACTTATTATTGTTGTCATTGATAATGAGAGTAATTATTGTGATAATTTTAAGGTGGAGGGGGCTTGGTACATCCAGCCTTTCATTCTTTAAGAAAAAAAAAAAAAAAAAAAAAGAAATAACATACTACTAATTTTTAAAGAACATGCAATTTTGAGTCTTTAAACTTAGGGTTCGTTCTGTATTGTTGTGGTTTTCAGTTTTATGGTTTATGGTTTTTCATTGTCATATGATATATGACATACAATGAATCAAAAATTAGTTAATTTATTAAAATCATAATAATTTTGAAAACTGACAACAGAAAACGGAAATATTTTTTTTATTTTTTATTTTCATTTTTTTTGGTAACGGATGTACCATGCGCCTTGTGGAGGCGCCTCTAGGAACCACCCATTATAATTATTGGCATGAAATCTGCGGACTTCCTCAAGAGGAGATTTAATGTTTTGAGAAAATTGAAAGTTATGTTACGCGCCATAATCATAATGATCAGCTTTTTAGAATATATTATCTTTACTTCACAAATAATAATCTATATTTACATACCTATACAAATAATAACACCAATCACTCCCTTACCCTTATCACAAACCACCATTGCCGCCCAATAAAAAACAGAGGAAAGCAAGAAATTAATGAGGTTTGGGCGAATTGAGGATTTGTTCGATCGAACCAAGCAAATTCAATTTCACCCAAAGAACCTATCTCAAAGTTCGGTCGACCATACCCATGGTTCGACCGAACGGTGGTGATTTGACGATGCCGATTTCCGATGATGATGAACGGTGGTGATTCAATGATGAAGATTGATGATGGTTTTGATGGTGTTTGAAGCAGGGGATCAAGCCCAAGTTGGAGCAGCCAATTCAAATTGAAGAAGAAATAGGGGGAGGGTTTAGGGGGCGGGTTTCGTGGGTGGCTGGGGTGGTCGGGTTTCAAGTTGGCAGGGGTGGTCGGGGTTTCAGGATGGTTGGAGTTAGGGCGGGGGGTTTTGTGGGTGGATGCGGGTGGTCGGGTTTCAGGATTGCTGGGGTTGTGGTTAGCTGTGGTGGGGTGGTCGAGGTTAGGAGAGAGAATGAAGGTGGTGGGGTGGAGTTAAGGTGGTGATGTTGTGGTGCTTATAGGGTGGTGGTGGTTATGGTGGTGTGCTAAGGTGGAGATGAGAGATTGAAGAAAAATTTAAAAAAAAAAAATGTAAAAAAAAAAAAAAAAGGTAAAAAAATTATGAATAAATAGAGTTCAAAGGTATAATTGTTTCCAAATTTCGAAAATGTGAGATTGTTTTGAGTTAAAAACCCAAAGGAAAGATTATTAGTTTCCTTTTAAAACCCCATTAGCACAAATATTAAGACAAATGATTTCTAAAAAAAAATGGTGCATGAAAGTGCAAGAAGATGAACAAAACAGTGTAAATGTATATATTTTCAGTCTTAAAAAATCATGTTTGGCCATGCATATATGGTTTATTGCTAAAAAAAATAATATCAATATATACATTGCATCCCAACAAATCTGTCAAGATACTGTACTTTTTATTACAAATCAATGTCAATCCATAATCAATTTGTTGAACTTTGAATCAAAAATTAAGCAAACAATTAAAGATAAAGGGAGTAAAAATTGTACAAATCAACAAAAATAAAGTAACAATCATCAAAATTTGTCGAAATTTATTGATTCCAAAAGAAGTTGGATTGGAAATGACAGAGGAAGATATAAGTTTACTCACTTTGTGGTGGATCATCATCATTCGAAGGAAAACTCAATGTCGGAATTGAAACGATGACGTCGTTACTTATATGTGCCTGGTTCAATGAATCTGGAGGAGTAGGCTGTGGAGTTTTCAACATTATTTTTCTTACTTCACTTGTTACTTGACTGAAGAGTGAAGATCAATTAAATTTGCTGATTTTTGTTTTATTAAGTAGGTAATGATGATGATTAATTATGCTTTTGCCTTGATAATTCACGACCCTCCAAACCACTGATTTCTATAAATACTCATTAATGACTAATGGCTACTAAATTAACAATGTTGCTTTTTTAATATATGAAGTATTATTTAATCCAAGTCAACTTTGGTCTAGATCGAATAGATCAGAACACTTCAAATATACGAAGAGTGAAAACTCTGAAGTAGTCTTTTGTAGTATTACTAGATACCAACTATTCACAAGATCGATGAGATTAAGTAAGGCTTAGTTCTCATGACTTAAAAGTTAAGGATGGGAAGCTTACTACGGATTATTCGGAGTTAAGGTTTGTCTTTTTCTTCCCCCTCATTCTTTATTAATATTCTCTAAAGACTAAATTTGTGCAACTATGCCAGCCAAAAAGCCAAATATCATAAGCTTAACAAACCTTATTATACCAAATAGGATCTAGTCAACCTTGATGTTATCCTATTAATTTGCCTTGAATTTTTTTAACCCTAACTTTAAGTTTATTCTTCAAGTTTATTTTCCGGAAAAATTTCACCCTTAATTAGCCATTTTTAACGCTAACTTTTATATGTGGTTGGTTACCATGCGATTTCTCGGTTAGTGTTATAAGGTTATCCGGTTAGGTTTATATATAGGGGTTAAGTTAGTAATATATAGAGATTACTTTGCTAGTGTTATAAGGGATACTTTATTGTTTAAAAGTTACTCAATAAATACTCAGTTAGTATATTATAGGGGTTATTTTGTTAGTGTTATAGGTTATTTCATTTTTAACAAGCGACCATACGAAGTGGCCAGCGCAAAGAATACATGTTTTTTTTACTGGGGATTTCCTGTACTTCTTCTTCTTCCCTACTCCCTGGTATTTTCTCTTGTTTGATTTCATTCCTTAGACACCAATAACTTGTTTGTTCTCCTCCCCCCCCCCCTCTCTATCAGTCATTTTTTTTAATATAATAATGATTTTTCTTTTGAGAGTCTGTTTAATTTACTTTATGTTTTATTATCTCGTCTTGCTTTGATCAATGCACCACAACTTAGGGTGACAATGGAATCAGGACCCTATCTACCAACCTACCTAGACCTTGTCGGATAATCCTACTCTAAAATACAGGTATACATGGGTCATATTATTTTAGACCTTATGTGTCCGGGTAAGGTAAGGGTCTAGGTAGCATTAGGTAGGGTAAGGGTTTAAGTTTACTCTAACATATTTAGCGAACGTCTTAAGTATGTTACTCATTATGGCTATCGAAACCTCTTTCCTCGACCATGAGTATTGTTAGTCTCTTGTTTGAGTACTAGTCCGTTTTGATGTTGTCAAACGTCTGCCGTACAAAGGGATTATAAAGGCAACACTTGGGTGGCTAGGGCCTCTTAGTAAGGGAGGATGACAATGCAAGACTGGGAATTTTTCCTTATTAATAGTAGGGAACATGTCTTTGTTGTTTACAAGGCCTCTCGAAGAGCGAGACTGTGAAAATGCATGGTCGTGCTCAGATGGATTTTAGAAATCATCTGCTTATTGAAAATCAAACTCGAAAATCGAGAAACACTTCTGGATGTAATAAGGATGACGAAAAATCTTACCTTATAGTCCACGAAGAGATATTAAGTGACATTGGAAACAAGCTATACACAAACAACACACTTTTTTGGAAGGACAAGTGGGAGATTGAAAGGAATGGTGTCTTTCGAACAACTGTATTATTCCGATAGAGGGTTCGAAATTAATTAGAAAACTAATTATTCAGTGAGGTCAAGTGATCAGAATGCCTAGTTGGACGCCGCTTCCGATCAGTAATATTGATGTATAATTAATATTACAGCTTAATCTTGACTGAACCCATCGAGTCACACCCAATTGTGTAACCGAACCGAAGCAACGAATTAATCTGAAAGATTAAATATGTCGATAGAGATTTTACGAACTAAGACGTCAGATTCCGAGCTTAGAACGTCGAAACCGAGCGTCGTGCGTTGAGTCGATTTTAGGAATCGACGAAGACAAGAAAAATAATCAAATGACGTATCGTGTGCTAAAATTGCAAGGATAACACGAGCCCTAACCATGCCTCAGATCAAAGGCAAGTGGCCAGGGGCTACAAGCACCAAAGCACCAAGCCACTGCAGCCATCGCAAGGCCCAACTAGACTGGCCGTTGCGTGTGGGCTGGCTGGGGCAGCCTAGTGCTTGCCATGGCAGCCTAAGCCGGGCTTGCGTAGCAAGCAACCAGAGCTTGCGACGCTGCTGCTTCTCGCTTGCGGTAGGCGCATGGGCTTGTGCATGGGCTTGCGGCTAAGGGCTAGCAAGCCTAGCCTTATGGCGAAAGGCTGCCAGCAAGGCTGGCCTTGCTGCCCTAGCTGATCGAAGTGGGTGGGGCAGCCCCTTGCCTTGTTCTCCAAGGTCAAGGTGGTCCTCCCACCTACTCCCTTTTTGTGTGATGACACTTATCATTTGATTATTGTTTCATGGATTTAAATTTAATTTAGAATTAAATTAAATCTAAATTTTGCTTTTTACCAACTATCCTACATTGAAAGATGATGAGAATTCTTGGGAACAATTCCCTATAAATACTAATCATTTGGGATTAGGAACTTAACGTGAGTTGGTGAACTCTAAGGGATCTCCAAAAGCGAGAAAACCTTTGTTCGTAAACTCTAAGTTATTTTGGTCTAGCCCCGTTTAAGCTGCGGGGTAGGGACCAGTTATGGTTTGGTAGCGAGGGTGTGAGCCGTCGGAGGTTCTCGCACTTGCGGAACTTGAATCTTTCAAGTCCGAGCTCATCGGTTGAGCGAAGCACACTTCTAGGGTGAGTATTCTTTCTCTCTTCCACTACTACATTTTTAATCAAATGCAATGGCTAAAAAAGAGCTAGTGCAACGACTCATTTTATTACCGTTGCATTAGATAAGCCTAATACAACGACATAAACTTTGTACATCAAAAGGTGGAGCTAACGCAACGGCTTTAAGAAGCCGTTGCATTAGGTGTACTAATACAATGACCGGAAAGGCTATTGCCACAACAATGATATTGAATACTCCGTTATTATATTTTTCTCATCTCTCTCGTAATCTCGTTCACTCTCCACAGATCTCACCACCTCATTTCTCTCTCCTCTCTATTTGTCTCCTTCTCCCTCTTCTCTTCCTAAAAGACGAAGGCAACCATCGCCGCATCCGCAACCACATCCACAACCACCGTCGCTCACAAATTAAATTCTCTCTCTTTCTTCTCCCTCCTCATTCACTGATGGTCACGGTGGTGATGGTGGTCGCGAGTGATAACTACGGTGCGGTTCGATTTTTAGGGTTTTGATTGGTGTTTATGGTATGAGCTTCTTTAAACTTTCCTCTTTAAATTTCAAATTTCGGGTTCCTTTGCATAATTACTAGTTCAAATTTTTGATTTTTTTTTATTTCTAGGGTTTCGATTTGTAACTGTTGGTGGTGGTGTAGAGCAGCGATGGTGAGTTCGATTTTTAATTGATGGTGGTGGTGGAGAGTTGCTGAACTAACGTCGCTCAAACTCTAGCTTCGTGCCCTGATCTTTGATTAAGCCTTCTCTCTTTATCTCTCCTTTTTATTCTTTCTCGCTCTTCTCTAATTCATCTCTTCTGCATTCATCAGGAAACAGAAAAATCTGCCAAAAAACAAGTCCATGTTTAGGCTTTGATTTATTTGATTTCAGATTTACGTCTAATTTTGGGGGATTTACGAGTCTTATTAACTATTGTTGCTAGGTTGTGTGATTTTGATTGCTTTATCTTGTGTTCACTGGAAATGTTTCGTGACTTGTTGATTCTTGTCCCCGTGCTTGTTCCTCCATGTGTAAACTTGTAAAGATGGCTTAGATTGGTCTACAACTCATAAGAGGCCCTTTTTACCATGAATAGAAAGCGTTAGAACTTAGAACTATCAGTGTAGTGTTAATGGTATACACTTAGTGTCATAAAAGAAAACTACCCATTGCATGATTGGATTTAGAAAACTTTGTGCTCAAGTCCTTGTAGGGTCTTCTAGATGTGATTTGTATCTTCGACATAGGAGTTTTTTTTAGGTTAATCTATCATTATGCATCATTATATGAGCACTGATGGCCACAGTATGCAAGAAATCATGTTTTTTATAGGATATAGTATAATTTGAAAGTACAAGCTAATTACTTGTGCCTGCCCTTTTTCTCTCTGATGTAGTTTCAGACTCTTGCTTGTGAATTATGTATCGTTTTTTAAATTAAAAGTTTCTTTGATGTAACTTTTATTTATGTAATATTGCAGATCCTAGCTTTGGGATTGGTTGTCTGGGAAAAGTGAATATGGCATATGAGAATGACCAGAACTTGATGATTCGCTTCTAAGGATTTGTGGCTAAGTGAGTTTTTTTTTTTTTTTTTTTTTTTGTTTCCCTTTTTGTACTTCAGAATCACTAAATAGTGATCTAGTTATGAGTATCTTGTCCAAGCTAACTTATTATTTGTTGAATTCCTTGGATTTTGCTGATCTAGGGGCTAGGGTCTTATACTGCAGTATGTGAAGGGGGATAATGAAGTAAATCTTGCATATTTAACTTTTTGTTGTTACTTTCTTTCTCTTAGTGAAGTTGATAACCTGTTATATTTGTATAATAGCTCTGTTAAATAATTTTTGTGGTGGCTTTGTTGGCTCACATTTACTTATCTGCTAGCTCATAGGAGTAAAATCGCTCCCTTAAATTTTTCCTACTCACATAATCTAGGAAGAAGTTATATTTTTTGAATTCTATAGACTGATTCATGCCTTTAGCATCGTTCTCGTGGTGGCTGATACATGTAGCAAAGTCGGGGACATTAGAAACTTCTCTACCTAGCAATTCTTAGCCTTGTTTTTACTTTCTTCTATGCTAGTGCCCATTCTATCGATTGTGACAATTTCTACGTACCATGAATCTGAATTTGGAGATTTGATAAGGTGTAAATTGCAAGGAAGAGATAGCCTGTGATGAAGCTGAGCTCGGGGAAGAAGAATTTGC